GAGAGAGGTAAAGGCTTGATCCTTGTCCAAATATCAATAAAACGTCTGCATAGGACAACCACATCGGGAAAAATCTACGTGGCATTGCAGAAAATCCAAGCTTGCAATCGCTTTGCAACTTTGTTTTGTAAGAATCAGCGCTGAAATCAACAATATCGTCTAGAGATCACCAACATCATTTATCCAATCTTAACCCGACAGTGTTCGCTAAGTATCCTATTGAATCACTAGTAATAGGAAGCATTGAAAATTGGCCAGCTCTTTCGTCTGCCCTCTATCCTCTTTGCTGTGAGATGCCCGTTAATGAAGACGCAGAGAAAAAGACAAAAACGCTGAGTCACTACGGGGGACGGTACGAACGTGCGTCCGAGGGTTCGCGCGGCGAATTGCGCGGCAAAGTTCGTGGCGATTTGTACGAATGCGGCGCCAATTTTCGGGGCACAAATTCGAAGTAATGTAGTTTAGTAGGGTCGGATGATCCTCCTTATCCACTCCAATTGAAGTTTGGGCCCCAACGACAGGCGACGAACTCGCTCAAACTACTACGAACTTCGCCGCGCAGTTTGACGCGCGCATCCTCGGACGCACCTTCGTACACATACCCTACTTAACCTATGCCCAACCCATTCCAAACCTGACCCGACTGGTGTTCCTACAGGTTATATCGAATTTCCGTTAAGACAAACAAATACACAAACAAACAAATAAACAAACAGACAGAGCGCTTTATACATGGTAAAGATTATTTTGTGATGACCTAGCTTTCATTTCAATAGCAGTAGGCATTTCTGCTGTTTGACTATGGTATTTCTATGGGTTTTTCTGCTGGAAAACATACGATATTCACAATTCAAAAAACTCGCTGAAAGAGAATGGTGTAGCACTCAGCTGCGCTGTACCAAATTGTATTAAGATTAGCGTATAAGATTATTTCATTGCAAAGATTAGAAACTTCTTGGATCTGATTGTTAGGTTTTTTAATTACATGACATTAGAAGATGACAGTTTTTTCTGTGTCCTTGACTGCAGAGAAAAAAAGATAGTGCTGCACCGATCGTGTGGTCCTACTATATCTTACTACTCGCTGATCCAACTAACCCCGCAGTCACAGCCTTTAAGAACGTAAGAAGTCACGGTATGTAAGAAGGTAAGAATACGGCGTCAAAATTCAGATCATCTAAGTTGGGTTCTCACTACTGCACTCATTCAATGCTTTCGTTGATTTGACAGACTTCGCTCATTCAGATCATTTAAGTTTGAGTTCCCACCACTGAACTCGATTCAACGCCTTCTTTGTTTCTAACAGAAACTTCAAAAACAAAAGGCCATAAATTGCTTTATCGTCCAACACTTTTGACATGGGAATTGTGCTCGGTCGCAGGGGAGTTCAAGATTGGGTATGAGGTATAAGAAGAAGAAGAAGAAGAAGAAGAAGAAGAAGAAGAAGAGCGAGTCAAACAAACTGACACCAGCTGCAGAGTGCTACCTAATTCTCTATTAAGCATGTTCATGATAGGTGCTTGACACTGGTCATCTTCACTGCTCTCGATTTCTGGGTTGCAGGGAAAAAACCATTTCATCGCACCACATCCACCATCTCTTGTTTATTTCCATAACTGTTCAATGTGCCACCTTTTTACATCCTGTTGTAGAGAGCTTCTCAATAGTTCTCCATTCAGTCAGCGGGCGCGATTCATGTCTTCCGCGTAGGCGGTACTGTCAATAATGCAAATTTTCTATGTAAAGAGAGTACACTGATTGCGGACATCGCTGTCATTCTCGTTTCCTTGATTCAGAATACGTGAAGTTTGATATCCAATGCATATGATTAACGATGTGCTGTTTCAGGTCTGTAAATGGGAACGGAAGTCAAATCCTACCTTCAGGAACATTCCATTCCTCAATTATTCGAGGTAATGCGGTATAAGAAATCCAAAAGCCTATTCCATCTGCAGTTCTTTATTGTACTTGTTTTTGTTCTCCGTTTGGTCACTCATAAGACGAACTAATCAAATAAGAATGTGTCAAAAGGACGAATAACTTTAAAGCCTTTGACCTCATTCAGTTCCGTATTTGGGATGCCCCCAGCACTCGACTACCCCTTAGAATCGTGGTGGCAGTTTGAGCGACTTTGTAGCCTATACGATGACCCACTGTAGGCAGCGATGTTTGAGGCAGTGCTTACTCTTCTCCCAGATGAGTATGGTAGCAATTGACAGCACCTGAATGATGGCAGACCCAATTGCTCTGGGCGAATATCGAGCCGGAATCGGAACCACGGACCATTTGTGTGTGTAGCGTGCAACTTGCCATTTCACGATTTACTCCCTCTCAACTTCATCTTGTGTTGATCCAATTTACCGACCTGTACGACGTAACTACTGTCAACTAGTGGAGTGCATGACAGAATGCCCGTTTGTAACGTTTATTAATTATCATTGATCAACCTAAGCATTCGTGAAACCTATCTGGCGGATCCAGAGCCCAGCAATAAATGCTAAATGTGGAGCATTAAGGCTGCGTTAGGGTCTGCACTGCTGTTGACGACCTTTGCTTGGAGCATGTCATATCTCCGGCAAGGCTGCATACGATTATTTCAACTAATCACTATGATTAGAACGCTACTGAACTGGAACAAACGAGGAAATGAAGTATTCAAGAATATCAAATCCAAGTGTCAATTATTTTGAAAAAAAAGAGATACAATCAGTAGAAACCCAATAAAGGAATTTCGACTGCCGATCAGATCGAGCAACCTCCTTTCATATAGTAGGAAGTCCAATCTTAGTATTTGACTCCTAATGATGCCTCTCGGAAACGAGTGGAAGTTGAACCCAAGGGCTCGAATCATTATCTTCCTCGTGAGGCTGTTCTAAACAACTTCACATTTCTAATGTTACCTTTGAAGTGTGTAAAGTAAATGCTAGTCTCGTATACTAATAACGGACGAACATAAATTTGGTAGGCCTTGAGTAGAACACATGGGTCTTTAGTGAGTAGGCTCTTGAGGAGTAAGTGGAATCGCCGCTCTACCTCACTTCATAGAGACAAACAACGTTTTGAAAAGTCAACTTGTTGTCAACAATGGGCTAAGGGAAGGTCCCGCTTTCTGGACCAAGTACTTACAATGTGACTTGTACCAGTTAATTCCATTGAGCTCTTTCATTCTCTGTAAGCAAAAAGTTGGTAATCAACTCTAACCAGGACCGGAGAGATTGTCGATTTTTTGAATTTCTTGGAAAAAATCATGTGATCAATTCATTCAGACAAAACAGTCATAACATTTCGGAGAATTAATGTCACCTGACAATGATTAATAAGCAAAACCAGTACTCTATTGCAAACTCATTGGCATCAATAACAGCCTGACCTGTTCGTGGCAGCGAGTCTAACAATGTGTCAAGATAAGGCCGCGGGATGTTGCGCAGGCTTCTTTGAGCTAAGCAAAATTTTCGACTTAATTCCTCTTTTGCTTTTCACGCGGCACTCAAGTTCGTTCCATGTTTCGTTAAATGTTCAGTCGTATTCAAATCCGTAGATTGATTTGACCAGACAAGAACTTGCACATGGCGCCTCTCCAACCAATCGCGACTGTGACCTGATGCGTGCTTGGGGTCGTTATCTCGCTGAAAAATGAATCTTGTGCCGGTCGATTAGGTGCGAATGGCCTCATAGTTGTTTCTAAGAGGTCTTCATATCCATATCTGTCTAAAACTCTATGAATTTGGCGGAGCGGTCTGATTGCGCGTCATTAAAGCACCATCAGATCATCACTTTCCCTCTACCATGCTTCACAGTGGGCGGTTGATGAGAGGGAACGAATCTTTTGCCGTTAGACGTTTGATATACTCGACCCCTCATTTTTCTATCAGGCTTAACTTGGGTCCCTCAGAAAATAGTACGTTATTCCATTGCTGGCTAGTCCATCCAGTATGCTCTCGCGCCTTGGCCCAAAAGTTGTCACAAAGCTGCAGACCCCCAGTTCGAGATTGGCGCAGGGAACGGCGTTTCGACCTTCCTCCCTTGACGGAAGACGCCGTCACTGTGCCAGAATCTGAGTGCGGGCCTTTCCTCCAACTACTCTTGCGCCTATCTGACCCGATCTTCACTATTCTTAGATTGAATGAATGGTTTCTTCGCACCACGTCTTCCAGAAAGTCCTGCAATTTCTAGACATTTCCGAATAGTTTTCGCCGACAGGATTTCTCCACTGCCAACGGCCAATTCCCTTCGGATGTCGGTAACAGTGAGCCCGGGATTGCCACGACTCAATCTGGGGATTTTTCTGCTTGTAGCTCTAACGGTGCAAATTGCTGATTTAGCAACGTGAACGTGGGGAACTCATGATATTTCCCCTTATCCAATTCCCTGTTCGATTCCTCGAAGAACATCATCGCAAACATCAGTTGTTGGCCTGAAAAAAAGTAAGTTGCAACATTAAGTGGATCATGCCAACGAGTCCAAATTCCTTCATATCCTCTCTATATATAAAGCGCTAACTTTGGGTGTCCGCTTATAAGCCCATTGTGTGACCTCCCAAATATCACGTATGCACGATCAGGGCGTGAAGGTCTTAAGAGCGCGGTGAGAAAACAGGTAGAAAATGGAAAGTCAACCGATGCTCTTTATATAGGTCCGTTGATTAATATCCAGTTTATCTATGACGTCATAGACTAAAAATCAGAACCCGCCTGAGGACAATCAAACCTCTGGGAACTCGAGAAGGTCAGAATGGAGACAATTCCACGACCACCTATTAGTGTCAAGAGATCAACACCCACAAACCGGCATCAGATTGTTCAAATTGGGGAATATCACCTAATGGGGAACGGTTATGAAAAGAGGAGTCAACCGATACTGTTTATATTGGTCCTCTAACCGGTAAGCGGTAGGGGCATGGCATGGTGCACGCGTTAGTGTGCATAGCCCAACTGGTGTATATATGAAGCGCTAACTTCGTGCGTCTGTTTGTATGTCCGTTTGTGTGTCCTCCCAAAAGTCACGTAGGCACTGTCAAGAGCGTGGAGGACACGTGCGTGCTGTGAGAAAACAGTTATAAAAAGGAAAGTCAACCGATGTTTTAATATTGGTCCGTTGCTTGATATCCAGTATATTTATGACTTCACATACTAAGAGTCACAATTCGCCCCCCACGACACTGGACAATCAAACCCCTAGGATCTAGAGGTGGTTAGAATGGAAACAATTCTACGATCACCTATTAGTGTGAAGAAATCAATATTCACAAAGCGGCATTAGATCGTTCAAATTAGGGAACATCAACTAATTCTTATTCACCAAACGTTTTCCTAGCTATTTATCGTCGTGCTATTTATCGATCCCTATACAATGGACGATTCATCTTTCCGTTCGCAGCCAACTGAGGGAGGAAAGAGGTTAAGCTTCGTAAGCAAAAAATCTTTCTGCTCACGAAGGTTTCTAACAGCCTAGGCGCCGAGAAAAGAAGTAAGCAAAGTAGAGGCGCAGGTCAACAAGTAAAGTGAAGGCGGGCCTCCGGTGGTGGGCGGGGCGTTCTTGCAGTGGGCGGTACTTTCCCCACAGGTTCATAGCTCCATTCAAGGAGGGCGTGGAAGGTAGAAAAAATAAAAGGAATGAATAGATCCTTAAGGTGCCGGGCATGCGTGCATAGTAAAGCGCCGCCCACGATAGTGGGTATGCGTCAAGGTGGTAGGTTCTTTTTGAGGAAGCTCATAAATCTACTGAAAAGCGTTTTATAATGTGAAAAGCGAGTGGCTAGAGGCTATCCTACTACATGTAACACGCTAATGTCTGTATGTGCGTATGTGTGTGTGTGTGCGTGTGTGTGTAAGTGCGTGTGTGTAAGTGTGTGTCCTACCGAAAATTCGTAACTCCTGTCCCCGTTGGCCTCAAGCGTTCAAACTCGGTAGAAGTACATGGGGCAGGATGGGAACATTTATGGTGAATGGGAAGACTAGACTCCGCCTACAGGAGGCGGGCTCCGCGAAATAAGTGTTCAAACGGAAAATCATAACCCCTGTCACCGTGGACTGAGAGCGCTCAAACTTGGCAGGAGTACAGGGGCAGAACGGGAACACCCATGGTGGGTGGCAGGACCGGGCCCCACCTACTCGGAGCGGCATCTGTGCGAAATAAATGTCTGAGCAAAAATCCATAACTCCTGATCCCGTGGACTTCGGGAGTAAAATTAATAGAAGTAGAGGGGGCAGAATGGGAACACTGACGATAGTGGAGGCCTTATAGAACAAAATCCAATCACAAATCGAATCCTAGCGCCTTTGTTATTAATAATCTAGCTTTGATTCTTTGATATGTTTTTTTCCGACAAGAAGGGTAAGTGCACTGATAAGAACCGATTACAAAATTTGATTCAAAAAATAAATAAATGAATAAAAATAAGTTACGACCACCACTCAGCGATGTTTGCGATTCAATAAAGGATCACGGTTTCTCTTTGCTTTGATATCGTTCACGGCAGAACTTATCCGACCGCTAACAATCTTGGACTCTCATTTAACACGCCCTATTGTTTCTCTATCGAACTTCGTGTTCCGAAAAGTATCATTCGTTCCAAAGAAGGATTGTGCTGTTCGCCGTTTATCACAACTCTATCATAAGAAGAAGGGGAGACCGGCGTTAGCCGGGCGGTCTGACTGTCTCTATATATAAAGCAGTAATTTTGTGTGTCTGTTTGTATGCTCGTTTGTGCGTCCTTCCGAAAGTCATGTAGGCACGACGAAGTGAATATCACGTGAGCGCGGTGAGTGAACGGCCGTGAAATGGGAGATGATTCGATACTGTTCATATTGGTCTTCTCACAAGTCTTAGGTAAGCGGTATTGGGCATGTGGTGCACGCATTAGCGTGTGTAGCCCAACTGGTATCAGAATAAATTAATATTGCCATTATGAGAGCAACTTTGTATTTAGATTTTATGGAACTAGACCAATCAGGTTCCAGTACTGAATGGTATATGCATTTTCGGCCACAATTATAGATAATCGATGCAATTGGCAGAATTTTTTCACCCCACCTCGCTCAAATCAGATTGCGTGAACTATCGATTGAGCAAGGGGGTCATTTGATACCTTAGCGAAGTATTCGGAATCCGATGTTCAACGTGCGCAAATTTCAACTGCAGAACGCAAACGGAATCAGCCGCGAGCGATGAGAAGTTCTCCTTATTATCGCGTTAAAGCAGATCCGATGACTGGCACCTAGAAAACATGGTTAGCAAGTTTGAATGAGGTCCATTTTCTCTGCTACGGCAGTCAGGAGCTTTGTTTTCATACTTGCCAAGCTTTTGTGATGTATCCCAACGAGGCAAAATATACAACAAACATCATCCAATCGGTGGGGAGTCGATCCTTCCAGCAGCACACTTTAATGCCCACGACTGAGTGCGTGTACTCCTATCTATACAGACCTCTTTCACTGAGCTTCTCTCTCACTGAAGGATCCCCAGCCGGTTAGTGTCGAGGCTACGTAGGGCGTCCCCAGGTGACGGATAGGGAAATTAATCGCCGACCAAAAGTCACCGGTACTTACCCAGAGGCGTAGGTGGATTCCGGGGATGAACTCCTTGATTCTGCTGTGCTGGTCGATATACATTCTGTCCCTCGCAGGCGTATCCACGCATACGTGTGTGGAGGGTCTGTGGGTGCAGTTGGTGTCCTGCCCATCGATTTAGTTAAAAGCTTGCATTCGAGTGACTGGAAAGTATCTGGGAGGCGATTCTAGGCCGCCTCTTAAAAGCCTCTCGTGCAGGCATCGGGATAGCCTGGCAAGTACCCGAAGTCAACTCAGCCCCCATCTCAAAACCTAACAAGCAACGCGTGGGTATCCACAGGCCAAAAACAGTAATAGGAATGGGCACTATTCCCCTAAATTTGAGGGAGCCCCCATAATGGCATCGTTGGGTAGAACCGCTCGGGAAGGGCTGTCGAAACCTTAGGGCCAAAACAGGCTGCCGAAAAGAAGTACTAAGTAAGATGACGGTCTGTCCTTTCAACGCAAGGGTGCTTGCATCGGAAGAGAAGACCTGATTATGCAAGCTAGGAAGATCAAGTATAACGTCATCGGGCTAACCGAGACGAGAAGGCATCGCCCGGTGCACGCTGTATTTGAGACTGGGGAAATCTCTTCTTTGGAACATGCGACAGCAGAGGCATCGGCGGCGTAGGTGTCCTTGTCAATACGCACTTGGCCATGAACATCGATTCGTACAAAAGCCTAACAGCCCAAATCGGACGTTTGCGATTGAGAAGATATGGCTCAACCCCAGCTCTAACCATCTTCGTTGTCTACGCACCAACATCGAGCTACGAAGAAGAGGAGTTGAATTCGTTTTATGTGGATCTGGAGAGGCTCTACAGAGAAGACCACACTTTCTTCAAGGTCATCGTCGGTGATTTTAACGCCAAGTTTGGCCCTAGAAGAACGGGTAATGAGCTTGTCATCGAACTCACGGATTGGAATGAGCAGAGGGAAAGGCTGCCCGAGTTTATCCTGTCGACCCACTCCATCCATGGTAACTCGCTATTCTAGAAGCCCTCTCATTTGCGGCGGACATGGGAGTCACCTGGTGGACAGTTCTATAATGAAATAGACCACATCATCTTCAATGAGAGATTTTGCCTGACTGACTTCGCTGTTGTTCCGAAGTTCTACACGGGATCGGACCATTGACCCCTCCGCGCTAGATTCCGCTTTTCAGCGCATGGAGAGAGAGCTATGAAGTTTAGGAAACGAAGCCCCGAGACTTCCATCAACTAGGNNAATGAGAGATTTTGCCTGACTGACTTCGCTGTTGTTCCGAAGTTCTACACGGGATCGGACCATTGACCCCTCCGCGCTAGATTCCGCTTTTCAGCGCATGGAGAGAGAGCTATGAAGTTTAGGAAACGAAGCCCCGAGACTTCCATCAACTAGGACCACTTTGCTTCCCTTGCGAGTAAGTGGGAAAATTCCGTTATCAACAGCATCGACGAAGAATATAATCGGCTCGTCGAACATCTTTACGATAGCGCTAGGAAAGCAGACAGTCTACAAGAAACTAAGAGACGACTCTCTTTGAAGACTCTCGTGCTGATACGCCAGCGTAGAATCGTGCGAGCTGCAGGCAAAAACTAGCTAACGTCCGAACTTGCGAAGCTATGCAGAGAAGCGATAAAAGAAGATCTGAAAGAGAGAAGAGCAGCAGTTATGTACGAAGCCGCCGAGGCCAGGAAGAGCTTTCGCAAAGCCTTACGGAGCTTCACCAATTGCAAGATCAAGATGACTTCCCTTCGTCGTCCACACGGATCAGTTACAGTATCTCGAAGGGCAGTGGAGCAGGTCATCTACGACTTCCCCTCGGATCTCTTCGACAGCCACGTCCACCTACCTACCCATCATCTCATACAAGACGAATTCATGGCTCCTTCTGTTCTCCCTTTCGGAATATGACATGCCATCACGTCGACGAAGAACCGTACGGCGGCCGGTCCCGATTGGATCAAACCAGAACATCTGAAGAGTTTTCCAGTAGTTATCGTCAGAACTCTTGCTAGGTTTTTTATGCGGTACCTGTCGAATGCAAAAAGCCCACGTTGTGAAAACTAGCAAGACTGAGTTGCTGTATAAAAAGGGAGATCCAGACCGGGTTTTCACCATTCTACAAGGACGATATTACCAAAGTGAAGAGAGGTTCACCCGAACTTTTCAGTGCCGCTCTTGAGAATATCATGCGTTGTTTGGAATGGGAAGACCTGGGACAGAAGGCTCGATGGCTGTTACACACATCGCCTCTTTGCAGATGATATCATGCTTATAACATCGAACATCGAGCAAACGGAAAGAATGCTGGCCGAGTTTGACAATGCCTGTGAAAAGATCGATTTGAGACTGAACTTAACGAAGACGATGCTCATTTAAAAGGGATTGGTACCTGATGCTCTCTCCACGCTCAACGGAACGAGTATTTTCGAATGCTCTAGCTATGTGTATTCAGGTTGGGAAGTCAACATGATGAACGACCTAGCTTCGAACTGAGCAGACGGAAGCGCGCGGCGTGGGGAGCATTCAAAAATATCGAGGGAGTAGTGAAGAAGACAAAGAACAGCCGGCTTCGCGCTCACCTTTTCGACACTGCTGCCCTTCCTGCTGTGACGTACGCCCAGGAGAATTGGACTCTACTAAAGCAGAGTGAGCATGCTGTCAGCTTTACTCAACGCCCTTTGGGGAGAACGATGCTCGGAATTACCCTATACACGTAAGTGCAGAAGGGAATCCGGAGTTCTGAGCCCCGTTAACGAACGAAGATCAGGGATGCCGTGATTACGCCAAGAAATCGAAGATCAGGTGGGCCGGACATGTTTTGCAATATAGCGATAACCGTTGAACCAGGGCTGTTACTGACTGGATCCCTCGGGACAGCAAACGAAATCCAGGACGGCCGTCAACGAAATGGTCAGACTTCTTCACGATAGTTTTGAACGAAAGGAATGTTGATCCTCGTGTCCCTGGTGCGAGGACGATTCATTGGACCACCCGGGCTCGTAATAGGGACGAATAGGGACATTACTGGCGCCCGCTTGAGGAAATTGACGAGCAACGGGACGATTTGTGATAAGGTGATACTCCAATCACGTCTTCTGACCTTTATTGACTGGTGATGTGGGCGGAAATCTTTACTGAAAAGTTTTGTGTAAAAAGCGGCTGTGATCACTTTCTTGCTTTGAAATTAATGAAGTTTTAACAAATTCCTCTGGGGGATTAAATAGTGGTAGAAAAAGAATTTGCACACTACGTTATTTGACAGAACTCTCATAAGAAGACGCCTACTTGTCCACGCTATTATTTCAAAAATTTGAATTTCTATTGAGCTAACGGCGGTCAGACGGCAAATACACCTTCGTACATGGTGTCCCAAAATTGTAGGGGTCATATTCAGAAACTTCCAAGGTTGAAGTAACTTATACAATCCCCCTCATCCGCTATTAGTTAGTTGCACAAGGTTTTCTTGCATAATACGTTGTTACTGGAGAGAAACTCCCGATATATTTTAGATGGAGGAGGCTCACTCAGTGCAGCTTGCAAACATTGGCGTGCGAGAGGTGGAAGGGCATTATAAAGTTTCTTAGGATATTTATAACAATCGTCTAAGAGATTATTAAACATATAGAAAAGAGATCGAGGTAAAGCAAATAAGGAAGAGGTAGAAAGGCCAATGTTTCTGAAGATAGGACTACTGAAATGGTCGGTCTGCCAGTCGGTCATGATCCTGGGCTACCCATTAAAAGGATGTCAACGGGCACGGGTCATTGGGGTTATAGTGATAGAAGGATATCATGTAGAAGCTTCTTTGCCATTTATATCGTATGCAGAAATCCCACTTCATTTCTATTTTCGACAGACAGTGTAGGGTGAAAAAATTCAGAAGATTGTTGGCTCGCTTAAGTAGAGACGCGCATCCCTTCACCGTTTTCTCAAGCTCAAAATTTTCACGCGAAAGCCATACCTCAAAAAATGAACGACCGCTTTTCTCCGTGGAATTATCGAACGTGCGATCTCTCATAGAAAAGCTACTATAAGAACAGCACAATCATGCTTTTTGAGGGAGTCATTGGCAAGGGCAAGACGTTCGTGGTTTCGTCGGTGCCGACGTAAAAATTGAGAAAGAACTGTACCTAAAAGGCGCACTGAAGGACATTAAGAAGGACTGATCTGACTCCGCTTCCTGAAACAGCTCGTAGTCTTCCCAGCGGGATGGTACTGCAGCCCACAGAGCCGGACTTGCCCGGGAGTGGTGTCGACGTAGGCTGCCCGACTTCATTAGCAAAGAGAGATAGCCACCCTACGCTCCATATCTTGACTCACTTGACTCCTCCGTATGGTCATTGATTAGAAGAGGACCTATCGGGTTCTCAGTGCCAGTTTGGAGTCCTAGAAAGCAAGAGCCAAAAAAGGCTGGAGCAGGATACTTGCGTGCAAACTGCAAGGTGTTCGAGTTTGAGCAAACTTTGGGCCTGCATCCATCCTCATTTGTGATATTTTGATATGCGATTGCAGCATGTTGCAGCGCATAATATGAGCAAACGTGTAAACATTTTTTATTTTCACTCTCAGCTCAAATGCTCTGAATACATTGCAATGAATTGACGCCCATAATTTCGGGACACCCTGTAAAATATCTATGCAGAAGTCTTGGTCTATGGTAATAAGGATATGGTATAGAAACCTGAAGCCTGGGCCTAAAAATGATAAGAATGAGCTAACGGGTAAAATAGATACACAAAATTAATGGAAAATAGCCACCGTACTTAACTGGTCGCATCTAGTGACTACAATCAGCTGTATCAGCTGTCATCCCCTTTATTATCAGTTTCCTCGAACGGCGCCAGCAAGGTCAGTCATCATCCCAGTGGTAAGCCAGTGATGTCCAGTGGATCGACTCCGTTCAAGCGACACGAAGCACAGCATTCCTCTCGTTAAGGATTGTTTATAGAAATTTCATCGTCGCATGGGCGGCTGAACTGCCGTTCGCTTGACATCCCGACGGACCCAGTCCGTAACCACCCTGGTCCAATGGTCATCACTATATAGCATAACGGGTCCGGCCCAACTAAGGTCCGGCTTAACTGGTTTCCTATTTTTTGGCGCAATCAACGGTATCCCTGTCCTTCGTTAATGGAGCTTGGAACTCTGGATCTCCTTCTGCACTTGCGTGCATCGGAAAATTTCCAGTATTGTCTTTTCCAAAGCGCATTGAATGTTACTGGCAGCATGTTCATCCTGCTTTGTAGAGTCCAAGTCTCTGAGGCGTATGTCGAATGAGAAAGGACTGTTGTCTCTAAAAGGTAAGCGTGGAGCCAAATTAACTTAGTCTCTTCACTACTCCCCCTATCTTCTTGAATGCTTTCCACGCCGCTCATATTCTCCTGCCGATCTTCTGAGGCGGATTGTTCATCATGTTGACCCCTTGACCTAGATTGCATCACTCGGAGATAGTCGTTCCGCTTAGCCTAGAGGCTCATAAGTGCCCTCTTTGTTAGGACCGCTCTCAAGTCGATCTCTACATGCTGCAATTTTCGGCCAGGATCTGTTACTGCTTGATCTACGGTGTTGTAAGCACGATATTAACTGGAAATCGGAGTGATCCAGGCACTTTTCGTGACCTTCAGTCCTATGTCTTCCCATTTCAGATGACGCATGATGTCCCCAGCGAGAAATTTGGGCGACACGGTATCGTTCTGCCAAAACACTTGATTCACGTTGACAGATTCTTGGCAGAATCCTGACCATGAACTTGCCGTAGATCTAACGAAAGATCCTCCTATATCAAATGGGATAACCGTGGTTACTCAATGCTGCTATTGCGTTCTAACTTCAATACTTACTTCAATGAGCCTTGTGTGAGTGTGGATATGACCGATTGTGCTGAACCCTCTTCGAAACCCTGCTTGCTCGCATGGCTGTCTTTCATCTAACATTCTGGCATTCTTGCTGAGGATGATTTCTGCGAAAAGTTTGTCCTTTACAGATAGCAGCCAGATCGAGCAATAGTCGCCAATATCGTCTGGATTTCCCTTTTTATACAGCAATTCAGTCTTGCTAGTTTCCTACGACGTGTTCACTTTGCATTCCGATATCCGATAGGACCGCATGAAGAGATCAGCTAGTGTTCTGGCGATAACAGGTGGATATTCCTTAATAATCTGGTTTGATCTTGTAGGACATGGCAGGTAGGCAAATGGACATGGCTGCCGAAAAGATTCCTGTGAAATTCGTGGACGGCTTTCTTCATTGTTTTTCGTGATGCAGTAACTGCTCCGATCTTCCTTCACTGCATGGCTTCGCAAGCTTGAACTTGAGTTGGCTGTTGCCAATTCGTGCGATTCCGTGCTGATAGCGTATCAGCTCACGAATCTTCAAGATAGTCTTTACTCGACTACTTGTAGACTCTCTGCTTCATCTGCACTATTGTGAGTATGACCGACTACACAGTTATGTTCCTTATTGATATTGTCAATGACAGAATCGTTTCTTAATTTTGCAAGGGAGACGGAGTGATCCCAAATGGCTACGGTCTTGTGGTTCCGTTTCTTGAGATTCACAGCTCCCTCTTCACACACTGGAAAATGGAGTCTAGCATGGTGGAAATGATCGTCTGCGTGGAAAGTCTGTGCAAATTTCTGAATAAAGATGATATGATACATTTTTTCACTGAAACCGTCTACAAGGAGGCTTCGAATCCACTGCGAACGAAGGGGCACTTAGAAGTGCAAATTATCGTGGATGGCGTGGGTCTCAATAAACTCGAGCAGCCCTTCGGAATCGAACGAGCAGCACTCAACCGGCTTTTTGGTATCGTGAGTCCTGATATGCAACTCTGTAGCTCTCAAGTCGTTCTTTCATGGCCAACCTTGCCATTGACATTGCGAAGAGTATGCTGATCTTCATATGGGTCTTAAGAGTTCTCCATAGGAAACGCTTTCAGCTCTTCTTTGCCGTATCTTGATGTTGGTCGTCGAACGAAAAACTTCTAGAAGTGGGCGGAAACATATTGTCTAAATTGCAGGCGTCCAAATGAGTAGTCAACCTTTGTTCGTATCGGGTTCGTGGCCAAAGTCGTAGTGGCGAGAACACCGCCGACTGCTAGACTATCGCACGTTCAGGAAGACCGTTCTTTGTCAGACTCGTAAACAACGTTCAGCGGGCGATGCCTTCGCTGCTCAGTCGAAATACGTTCTTCCTAGCTTCCATGATCAGATCTGAGATACACTGTTCATATGCAAGCGATCGTGCTTTGGGAGTACGAATAGCGTCTAAACCTCTCGCCTCCCATGCAGCCTGTTATAGTAATAACCAGTTGGATCGCCCGACTAACGCCGAGCTTCCTTCCCTCTTTTGACATAGTTGTAATAATCAGCGAAACGCCCCCTATCGGCGGAGTTCAAGACTATTTGTAGTCGAATAACTTTTGTCAAAAATGATATCGGAGTGATGGGAAACCGTGATTCTTGATTGAGTCAAAAACTTCGCTGGGTGCCGGTCGTAATCTTACAGAAGAATTTCATCTACTTGTAATTTAGTCCCACTAATCGGTTCTTCCTATTACTGCACTTACCCTTCTCTCGAATAAAAGACATCGAATAGTCAAACTTAAATCGCAAATAACAAAGACGTTGAGGTCTGACTGGCGAGTGGTTCTCGCTTTCCGAGGCATCTTATATCATCAGTGTTCCCATGACGTTGTCAGTGTGCCTTCTCTCCTACCAAATTTGAACGCTTCAGGTATACGGGAACAGGATTTAAGAATTTTCTCTCAAACTCCGCCCATTATGAGCGAGGTGTGGTTCTGCTACCCATTATAAGTGTTCTTATTCTTCCAAATTTGAACGCTTTAGGTCTACGGAACATGATTGAACATGAAATCATGATTTTCCTCTCAAACATCTATTTCGCTTGAACCCCGCCCATGGGGGATCCGGTTTTGCTTCCCGCCATAAGTGTTCCCATCCTGTCGCTTGTACTCCTACCGAGTTTTAACGCTTTAGGTCCGCGGGCACAGGAGTTACGAGTTCCCGGTCGTCCACACACGCTTACGCACACAAATACACAATCACACAGACATTAGCGCGTTATATATAGTAAAACGGCAGCCTCTCCCGCGCGATTCTTCTCACACTGCCTCATAAGTGACTAACTTAGATGCAAGGGAATGAGGCCCATCAATGTTACTATTTTGGCATATGGGTGCCCACGAAGCTATGCCAAAAGTAGTGGCTTGAATTGGCATCACTCCCTTAAATTCGCGGGAGTCCCTAATACAGCAGCATTGAATCGGTTCACACGAGATAAGCTGCTAAATTCGCAAAGCCACAGCATGCTGTCTGAAAGATAGAGGAATAGAATAGTAATCAACGCGCAAGTGCTCGCACTCAAAACTGTATTGAAGATATGGTGATGCAAGCTAACAAGGGAAGGACACAGAGCCGCAGCGGCCTCTCAAAATGAGATTTTCACTCACATATTTGTTCGTTTTTGAACGCTGATGCCAAACCCACATTTCGAATCTGCGAAACGTTATGAGGTGAAAATTCACGGGAACATCCCTCCATGTGATAGAGGGTTTTGCCGAGCATGTATCAAGGTCGAATTGCTAAGCCAGATGTGTAAGGATACCGCAGCTGCTAAGGCAATGGACTTGCAGGCGTGGCGTGAAGGTTTGCATGCCCTATGCGCGGACTTGTTTTGCATTTTCGTATATGTATGCTAAAGGCTCACAAACTTAATCTACATCTCTAACTGACTTATTGCAGCACATTTTGACCATAAGGAACATTAGAAGTCGTCTCTCACGAAAGATGCTGTACTGGCTTCTCGAAGCCTTAAGAGCTTCCGATGCAATATAGTTGTTATGATCGTTAGTCTTAAATGATACTTGCTAAACGGGTTTCCGCCATTTCATTAGGTTGATGCATAACTATTGCGGATTATTTCAACAAATTTCATTTGACGAAACGATAAAAATACTGAACAAAAACATGTTCAATTAATTAATTCGGAAATCATCCACGATCAGCGTCAATCATTGCTTCTCATTGGCTAGATATTCGGATTCTAAAAGCGAAAAAATTTTTGATCCTTGGGGGTGATCTACGCCTTGACATCGGCCATCAAGTCATCCAAGTCGGTGGAAGTTCTATTCCCCAGCCATTTTTTCAGCGAACGGTTGGCGAGATAATCCATAGAAGTTTCTGCTGGTAAATATGGCAGATTTAGAGGGCAGATCCCATTTCTTGGTTGGCTTTGGCTGATTGTTCCATCGTCGAAAAGTTACTGAGATCGCGGAATGACTGTGCCACCTTCCAAACTTTCTCGAAGTAGTAAAGCCTAATTCCGCGATTATGCGGATGATTTTCTATGCACATTTTTAGAGAGGAAATCAAGCAGATCATTTCCAAAGAAACACGAAGTCAATGTTCAGGTTCTATTGAGAGAAAAAAGCAGCGAAAAAATCCGCAATAATTATGCATCAACCTAATAGTTAGCTTGATCCACATAATATTCGAGTAATGGCGCAAGGACGGAGTTTTTTGATCAAAAACCATTTCACCACTTCCAGGCGATATACGGCTTTTGTAGTCTCCAAGTCCTCTGATTCCTCCACTAGTTCCACACTTTCCTGTTGCCAGTAGCAATAAGTACTGAAGGGCTCCACTATTATGGTTGGGGAAAAAGGAACCTAATCAGCCTTCCAATGATATCATCATATCATAAGTTTTTGGGTTCTTATAATGAATAGCGAATAATGAATAAAAAAAAAAGAAAAAACCGCTTAATTTAACCCGTGAGCGTTGCTTCTGCAATTCAGGTGGGATGGCCATCGTCTTGTACCTTTCGATGGCTGAGGGAAGATGCACTTTTTCACTTAGAGAAAGCATATTGCGCTCCATCATTGCTGAATGCAATTAGTAGAGTCCAACAGATATTTGGCCCATCTCAACATCTTGTAAATGCTGCTCCTCAACTCACCTTCACGGAAAATATGATAATGATGAATGCGATGGGCTTTTCTCATACATTGTCTTCAGTGTGAAAAATTAGTGCTGCTCTCGAATTTTGATGTAATGTGTGGCCAAAGAGCGCTCATTGATTATCATGTCTATTTGCTTGCTTCACGAATCACCTCGAGGGTTCGATGGTGTAAGAACGAAATGCTTCAGAAGGGCTTCAGGAGTTGAGAACTATTTTCATCCAAAAAGGTGCACTCCGATACGATAGGTCATTACATTTCTTCTCACCCATAGTGCAGGAATCAGTCCAAAATTTCAAAATCTCATATTTGATCTCTGATATACTACAAGAGGATCTCCTTCCGGGTCAGAAAAAATTGGTACAGTTCTTCTTCCAGCGATTATTTTGATTTTCCTTATAGCTAGGGAGGGCTGCAGTCAGTCATTGGAGCTGTAGAAGTAATCTGCAGGGATTTTAGCATACATATCATAAAAATCATAGCTTCACTACTAAAAAAAATGGGCGGAGGTGGTGCAGTGGCAAGTGGCACACTATCTCACACGCAGGTCAAGGTTCGGATCTCGGATCGATGCCCGCCTAATCCAATCAAGCCTTCCATCTTCCATCAGTGAATTGGTACCGAACTCGTTTGGGAGGATAAAAGCACTGACAGGATAAAAGCACTGACTTGTACATCGGCTGGCCACCGCAAGTCATTTTAGGCCACATACACACTCATTACGCCACTACGATTCTGAATGGAAGTCTAGTGCGGGGGCACATCCCTCATACGGGATTGATTAACGCAAATAATTTTAACTTTTTTATCATAAAAATGCAAAAAAAGCTCACGCACTCGGGATACAAACACACATGCTGTGCCTGTATATGTAGTGCTTCAACAGCTTCACTACCACTACACACCAGGACCCCAAGTCGAAGTGGCCATTTGAAATAAGACCTACACTGCTGGATGTGTTTTTGGATGTTGAGTTCAAATCTGCTTCCCGAATTTGCCAAGCACTTTTCTGAACAGAGTTGTGAGGGTGGTTTCAGGGAGCTTAATATGAGAAAACTTGAATCACCTAGACGTGCCTCATTTCTCAACGGCGGCTTGGTGTAGTGGTAAGCGTGGCGCTTCATGGGTGAGAGGTAGAGTTCAGGTTTTGTGGGGGACGAAATTTTCGCACAACATGGAATTTTTATCACGTTTTATGACCTTTTAATGCCTTGCTGATATTCACCAACATGAAGTAATACTTCAGTTTCACTCGAATGCCCATGCATCCTGTATTCACAATGGGATAACTTTTGCCACTTTATGAACAGATGTGATACTGTAGCACGAAATGCTTCAGAAAAAAAGCTTCTCACAATGGAATCAACGGATGAAAAAAAACTGGTCACAGCCCATTGCTTTACGCTCACTAACCCCAAATCAGAAAGAAAACAGAATTGTGTAGGCGTTTCAAAATCACCCGGGTGAGTGCTTAAGTAGCCGGCGGCATGCCATGAATAAAAGAGAAATTCCCTAAATCCGACAGCACAGAACTGAAAGTAGACAAACGAAAGTAAGCAAAGGGTGGGGTCTCGTGTGAACACGCAAAAGTTGAGATTATGAGCTATTACATATGAGGTGGTGCGTTCGACCATATTTCTGAAAGAAAATAAGAAATGAGCTTGTAACGGCTGTATTAGCCTCGTGGTAGCCTCGAGCAGGGTGTCATTCCCTTTAGCTGCTTTTGTGAAGGTGAGACGCACTGAATAGCTTTTTGGTATCTGAATAATGTCCATTATCAACAGTGCCGGTGTTGGCGAGTCCGGAGCTGCTACGCACCATCGCACCCAATCTAGCATCAACACCCGTTCTAGCATAATCATTGCTCATCATATGCATTTTACTCTCCCGGACCTCCACAGTTTGCGCACAGAG